GAAGGTGCATTTTTAAGACATTTGGGTTCCTCGAAAACCTTTATGCAAAGATTAGGAGTGATCCAAATGAGTTGTTGGTAAATCAAAACCCTTTGATGAAAAGCTTGTCACAAACACTGAGCTAAGATCCAACATTTTAAAGAACAATCAAATATCACAAGTTTTGTCCAAATTACTGATATGAATAACCTGTTGAAACAATTTAAGATCCCAGTATTTCTATGTAATTTCCCTGCTAGCTGTTTGCAGTATTAGATTTTAAAGCTAACAATGTAGTGGCAGACAACAAAAGACCTTTAAGAATGGCCTTAAGCAAAAGAATTTATCATTGAGGATGTAGCCTCAGCTAAACCTCAGGTACTTCTCTAAATCGACATTAAAACCTATTTTACAGCTGCAGTGCTTGATATCATCAACGTCAATATCTTTTCTCTCTCTCCAGATAAGTTTTATTAACAATTTGTCTTTTCCAAAATTTTTTTTGTGTTCATCTCCGATAAGAAGCATTGGTGCCTTTTCACTCGATAAACTTCTATTTCAAAGAGTTGAATTCCCATCACTTTGAAAGCTTGAACAAACAAATTAATGATGGAGCTTTTGATTTTAATATCAATACGAGTGCTGTAGGTTTTCATTGTTCCATTCAGTCCTTCCATCCAAGATAAATCTTTATTATTTTCCTGTTAAAAAACAAAGATCTTTTGAAGAGAACCTGTTGGTCGTTACTATTTCCATCATTTGTTTCCTTGCAGCGATGCCGGGACTCAGCTGTAGGTTTTACCAGCACCGGTTCCCAGAGGTGGACGATGTGGTGATGGTGAACGTGAGGTCTATCGCAGAAATGGGGGCCTACGTAAGCCTCCTGGAGTACAACAACATCGAGGGGATGATCCTCCTGAGCGAGTTGTCTCGCCGACGTATCCGCTCCATCAACAAGCTCATCCGAATCGGCCGCAACGAATGCGTGGTCGTCATCCGAGTCGATAAAGAGAAAGGTGGGCACTGAGGAATGAAGTTTAGAGCATTGTATTTCTAGAAGTAATTGATTTACTGCAAACAAGTGATGCAACCACTACTCTTTAATAATATATCAGTAGTGACCTACTGATCCATGAAAGGGAGGTTAATATACACAAGCCTTTTCGGTTGCTTTTAAAGTTTGGAACGTGGAACCCCAAACCAGGTTCTCCACATACCACCCCATCTTTCACACAGACTTTTGCAAGATAAATGTTTATGTAAATTAATTAATCATTTTGATTATGTTTCTGTGACATTTTATTTACATTTTATCAGACTTTTTCTATTGAAACAGCTTGTACTGCATTTCACTCTCTTTATTCCTCCAGGATACATTGATTTATCAAAAAGAAGAGTTTCACCAGAGGAGGCCATCAAGTGTGAAGACAAGTTTACTAAATCTAAAACTGTAAGTTCTATAACCTGTCGGGTTTTTTTTTTTCCTCTTCAATGATTAAAGCATAACATAGAGTAAAAGTTAGTGGAGATATGTTGATGTGCTGACTGAGTGTTGTGCCTGCAGGTGTACAGTATCCTGCGACACGTGGCAGAGGTGTTAGAGTACACGAAGGACGAGCAGCTAGAAAGCCTGTACCAGCGCACCGCCTGGGTCTTTGATGAGAAATACAAGCGGCCGGGATACGGAGCCTACGACGTCTTCAAACAGGCTGTGTCGTAAGTTCACCAGGAATTAAGTCGATCAGCTCCTAATGTCAGTTTTTTACAGCAAACACTCCATTTTAAACAGAGACCCCGCCATTCTGGACGGCCTAGATTTAACAGAAGAGGAGAGGAACGTGCTGATTGATAACATCAACAGGCGGCTAACGCCACAGGCGGTCAAAATCAGAGCAGGTTTGTTCTGAGGTGCTTGGATGAGTCTCCTAAAGTTAGGATGTTCCAATGATGGGTAGTTTCCCTCTTTGTCTTGCAGACATTGAAGTTGCATGCTATGGGTATGAGGGCATCGATGCCGTTAAGGAAGCTCTGAGAGCAGGACTCGGCTGCTCCACAGAGGTCATGCCCATCAAGGTGATGCCTCATGTCAACAAACCTCCACCTGTGATGTGGTTGTTTGAATGCTGCCACTGTGGTTAAATATTGTGGCTTTGTTTATTTTAGATCAACCTAATCGCTCCCCCTCGCTACGTGATGACCACAACCACCCTGGAGCGGACAGAGGGTCTGTCTGTCCTCAATCAGGCCATGGCTGCTATCAAGGAGAAGATAGAGGAGAAGAGAGGCGTCTTCAATATCCAGATGGAGGTGAAGGATTTATTTGCCTTTAGAACCAAATTTTAACTTCAGTATACGGTATGTTACAGTATTTATAAAAGCAACTTGGCGTTCCAAAAATTTTTACCAAAAAGGCTAAATAGTTGAAGTTATAAATTGCTGTTTTTTTAACCAATGTAAAGCAAATGATTTTTTCCATCGAGGTTAATACTAAATTAGTTCCCTCAAAGTCAGATTCAGGTGTGCTTTCCGTTTTCAACATCCTTACATGTTGCCATCATAGCTGTAAGTTTAAATAGGGCTGAAACAATCGATTAATCGATTATTGAAATTATGTCCAGATGCCTTTAGCTGACAGAGCGATCCACTTAGAGCAGTAATTATATCAAAATTGTAAAAAAAAAAAAATTATGTTTTGCATTTAAGATCAAAAACTTTTTAGTCTGTCATTATGCTTTATCTAGAACTCAAGAGGAACATTTTTTGTTCTACTTGTTTTAATTTCATAAAATATCTTCTTGAAGGAACCTTTGACTATCAGATTAATCAATTAATTGGAAAATTATTTACATATAAATCGATATGCAAAATAATCTTCCGTTGCCGCCCTAGTTTGCATGTCTATATCTCTGAACATCTTAAGACTCACTGTATTTCATATATTTTTTTTCCATTGTGTTTTTCCAATGTAGCTTAACTTGAGTTGCATCTAACGATTATTTTGCAATCGGCTAATCTATTGATTATTTTTTCGGACCTGACCCCAGCAGAGGGCCATGAGCTGCCGTCCTCAGTCGGAGGTAGGGGGCCGGTAAGGCAGGCGTGGGGAAGCACGGGGCCATTGGTGTCCAGGCTACCTTCACGGGGTGGGGTTCGGTTGCTCTGTCCCCTGCTGGCTCCCTGCCCCCGTCCGCCGGGTTTCCCGGAGCTGACGACTCGGTTCAATTACCGGGTGTGTTTCGACTACATGCTGCACTGTATTCGACCAAAATTCCGGACGATTTTGAAATTCCCTCGTACATTTTTTTTTTTTTTTTAAGGTATGAAAAGTAGTACGTGAACAATTTGATGTTTCAGTGAGTGATTGCTTGTTGCTATGTCTTTGCTCAGCAGCTTCGCTCGTTGTAAACCAACCAATCAGAGCGCAGCTAATCTAAATTATTCATGAGCATACCATAAAAAGAACAACCTGTCGTTTCATTCTAGGGCTTTTAACCAGGCTTGCATTAGGGCTCATAGAACAGCGAATATGCCATTTTGAGCCCAACCAATGTTACACACCCTATACAGAGTCCTTAAGGACCAGCACCAAATACCCTATAGAATCATTCTGGCCCCTTTAATCTGAACGCTATGGGCTGCTCTTTCTTCCCTTAAATAAATAAAACTCCTTTCCATTTTAGAAATTGTTTTTTTTGTGCGCCTGTATGTATGAAATTCACTCAAGCCCTGTTTGGGAAAAAAAAATGCCTACATTTAAAAAAAGACTGCTGGGAGAAAACCATTAACTCTTACGAGTATGCATTACATTGGCGCATTTCTAACATGTAGCTCTGCATTGCAGATAAGCTGTTAAATTTTATGTTTGCACTGAAGACAAATTAAACTTATAATATAAGTATAAAAATCTCACATGTGGGTTTGAAGAACAGTGGAATATGCTAGTTGTAATATTAGCTGCTAACAAGTAATTTGTGATTTCAATTTTGTTGAAATAAACCAAAATCACATGCGTGCACGCAAATGAAAGTCTGAATTGTCCCCTGGCAGCCCAAGGTGGTGACAGACACCGATGAGACCGAGCTGGCCCGGCAGCTGGAGAGGTTAGAAAGGGAGAACGCCGAGGTAGACGGGGATGACGACGCTGAAGAGATGGAGGCCAAAACTGAGGACTGAAGAATAAAAGAAGACGTGGACGAGCCTGGGTAGAGTCAGTTTAACTTGCAGGATGCAAGCAGTTATTTTATTGATTGGTAAAAGGATCTCCTTAACCCTACATGAACCCACAGGTGGCTAAAGAGGTTTCACACCAGTAGTATCTGAATAAACAATAGCTGCTCAAACAGTGGCCTTTACTTACCTTCTGCTTCAGCATCCATGTTTCTTCAACTGGTGACTGATTTAAGACGCTCATCTATCTACATCCAACCACAAGGTTTTCTTCTAGCTCCAGTATTTTACAAGCAAGACCTACTCCATGTGTAGCTCACGTAAAAATCAATAAAGTTCTGGAAATTTTCATTTCTCTGTGTCTTGTTTAAAGATTTTAGCAGACCAAAGATTAGCCGTAAAGAATCATTTGAAATATATACTTTACATTTTGAATTGCTAATTAAAACCTGCAGCATTAAAGGCTTTTAAACATTAATTATGAATCTTTATACTGCAATCTGATGGTAACTTGGTTAAGAGGAAAAAAGCTTCACACTTTTAAAAAAAATGCTTTAATCAAATGTTCACCATTACAAAAAAAACATTTTCACAACCCCAGAAAGACAACTTTCCTGTTCATAGTTCCATTTCATTTTTTTTTCCTTTCAAGGATGTTGCCACCCATAAATCTGTTCTGCAGTTGGTTTGACAAAAAGACGTGTCTAATTATCAGGAATGTGGTTAACAGAGCGAATTATGTCAAACCCCTAATAAATACCCCTGTAAAAACGGGAAAGAAGTACTGAGTTAAGCATACAAAGTGCAGATTAAGCTGGAAGCCAATTACCTCAAAACCATTTCAGGAAAGCTTGTTGACCAACTGCAATTACTGCAGGTATAGAAATAAAAGCATGGGTCTGATGGAAACTATAATTCTAGATGTCTAAACAGGAATCCTTCCTTATTTTAATGACGCATATTTACAGAAGCAAGATGTATGCAGTCACCACCTGCAACCAGAGGGGAAGTGCATGGAGCCTGAGTGTGTTACATAAAAAAAATGCATCTGCTGTCAACGGTACAGTCTGTTCAGGATGATGTAATTTTACGACACTTGTATAAACACTTTGGCGGAGGGGCTTCTTTATTTCCGTGTTTTGCTTATTTCACCAGTCCAATTTTCTTTGCCTCGGTTTCATAGATGAGCAACCGCCACATCTTTACAATGAAGACCTCTGCTTCTTCATCGAGTACCTGAGCAGGAAACAAAGATTATTTTTAATGTTAAACAAAAAGAGGCTAGTTAAGTGAATTGAAACATTTTAAAAGGTAAATCTTAAACTCTTTTCACTAGTTAACAAATGGGAGGTATCTGCAGTAATAAAGGATTAGGGCACTCAGCCAGGTAACATTGATGTAAATAAAATTTGCTCACCATGGCAACATCATCCAAGATACTTTGGGGCATACTGTGAGCCATCACCTGAGAGCAAACAAAAAATGTCAGCATGTCTTCAGTTTTTCTCCAAATCAACACATTTTAATATGATCATTACCTTGGAGCACACAAAGTCGACTAATGTCGGCTCTTCCTCACCGATGTACTCAATGATTTTTTTATTGATCCAGGGTCTAACACGTCGTTCCATTAACGTCTGAGAAACAAGATCACAACACAGGAAATTTGTTAAGATGTGAATAGACAAGAGGAAACCATGTCAACCTGGTCATTAAATAGAGAATGTAAGAAAATAAAAAAAGGGGTTCTAACCGAGTCCACCATTGTCCAGTCCAGAGGGTAGGAGAACAGCTCTGGTTTTGCGGTTGGAATCTTTTCTATCAGGCTCTTGATGTGTTTGCGTTTCTCTTCAGTGTTGGCTCCTTTTATGCTAGAGAGTCCTGCACCATCCACACCAAGGCTCTTGTCATCGTCGTAATCCAGGGGCACCAACTTCCTCTTGCGTGGCTGTTCGTCTGCCTCCTCTTCATCGAGCTTTTTGAAAACGCTGTCCACTGGAAGCTTCTTCCTCTTGCCTGCGTTAGGCTGGCTTGGGCTTCCAGTAGCAACTGATGAGGACACAAGTGAATCACATGACTTTTTCCCAGCAAATATATTGTTAATTTGGGATAATCTTGACATTTGAAACCATTTCATGTTTTTTTTTTTTCTTAAGAGGTCATCTGAGCAAATTACTCTTAAGAACCTCTAGATATTTCTTAAAGTGGTTGGTTTGTTTTTTTTAAGCAGGCCTGTGCCCTGGTTGGGAATCATCCTACAGTGGCTATCTGATCTGTTCAACTTCTAAATCTACAACAACTCTGCATTTAATATCAATTCAACATGTTTGTTCTCCTTTCTTACCCACTTACTTTATAACGTTATTTTCCCCCCATATTTTGTCACCAAGTCAAGCATATGAGCAAAGCTCATCTAATAAAAGGAAAAAAAAAGGTCCTCTCACCCAGTTTCAGGCTGAGGCCGATCTTAGGGCGATTTTCATCCTGCGGCAGAGCGTCAGGCGGGGAGTTTTCATGAGGGATGATGATCCCGCAGGGCGACTCCTCTCCAGGCGTGTTAGGGGAAACATTGCCACTTGCAGACGATACTGAAGGAGCGGCTGTGATTGGCCGCATCATTGGCTTCACCTGTGGTTTTACTTCAAGGTTGTTGTCTTCTTCATTATCATAATCCGCCTCCTCACCCTCCTCCACCTCATCGTCAGAGTGATGAGGCCGGGAGATGGGTTTTGTCTTCTCGGGCTCCTGTCTCCGTTCTCTGTGGTCTCTAGAACTCCTGTGGCGTTCACGTTGCTCCTCAGGTGGAGGCTCTTGAATGATGGGTGGCTGTCTCAGACGCTCCTCCTCCTCTTCTTCCATCTGGACCAATAACGAGCAGGTAAGAGGAAAGCAAACACATTAAAGCAGATAGAGAGACTCAGAGGGGAAAATGACCTTCAACAACAGACAGCATGCCTCCTCAGCAAATGAAACAAAGAACACAGAGAACCTTTTATAAAGAAACAAATATACCCTTCGTAGCTCTGTGTCTGGGTCTGGATGTCCCTCTTCTAACAGCCTCTGTCGGATCTCCTCCAGCTCCTCCTTCTCTCTCTTCCTGTCACGCTCGTCCGCCTCCATCTCCTTCTCTCTGTCTCTGAGACGCTTCTGCAGCGCACTGCCCCTAGGGGTCATAGTGAGAACATCAGCCTTTGAAACAATTAACATATCTGCTATGTTATGTTCAGGGAAAAAAGGCAGCTAAGACAGAATAGAAAAGAGGAGGAGAGACAAAATGAGGGGGAAGGACACAATGAATGAAGAATTAAATTGAGGAAATGAAAGACATTAGGACACCGTGTGGAAAGAAAGCAAAAAGGAAAATTGATGTAAAAAGCCTTGGAAAGGAGAACATATAGAGGGAGGGTGGAGACACACCTACTAGACAACTGGACAGTAAATGAAGTCTTGAAATACGAATATTTTCTATTCCCCTTTATTCTATAATTACTCAGACCGTAGAAACCTACAAATGTTTTACAGTTTTCTGAAATGTATAAAATAGCAAAAAAAAAACTTTGGTAACAAATGCAGCCATTTCTATAACGAGTTGGTGCTTTGGCCTCAATTATGTACATATTTAGTGCATTTGCAGACTAATATTTGCCGAATCGAGCTGCTCAGTGGAGCAGTGGGTAGCACTGCTGCCTTGCAGCAAGAAGATTCTAGGTTTGATTCCCGGCCCGGGGTCTTTCTGCATGGAGTTTGCATGTTCTCCGGGTACTCCGACTTCCTCCCACAGTCCAAAAACATGACTGTTAGGTTAAGTGGCTTCTCCAAATTCCCCTCAGGTGTGACTGTGTGCATGAGTGGTTGTTTGTCCTGTTTGTCTCTGTGTTGCCCTGTGATGGACTGGCGACCTGTCCAGGGTGTACCCCGCCTCTCGTCCATAGACAGCTGGAGATAAGCACCAGCACCCCTCGCGATCCCACTCGGGAAAATCGTGTCAGATAATGGATGGATGGACATTTGCCCAATCATTGCGCTATACTCTAAGTTATGTACACACAACTGCAGCCTTGTTCTATTGTTCTTTCTCACCTGTAATATTTGGGATCATCTCTGTCATCATCATAGTCTTCAAGAAATTCCTTCAGTCGTTTGCCTTCTTTTACCTAATAAAAGAAAATAGTTACTATGTTTATAACAAATATTTGCAGCAAAGTCTAAGTAAAATATAGTAGATAGTGAATGTTAATCCCTGAAAAATGAGCGTGGGAGTTATGCCCATGTAACATGCTCCCACCATTTCTCGTCTGCGCTCATCGTCCCTTTCTGCCTCCTTGGCATAATCTCGAGCCCTTTTCCGTTCCCTCAGCTCCCAGTTTTTTAGACGCTGTGACATAGACCATTGGGCTCAAGTTAAGACACAGAATTCCATAAGCTAAAAAATGTCATGTTCTTAAAAGAAATTTGAATTATTTAAGAAACAAATGTGCCAATTAATTTTACTCCACTAGTAATAATCAATGTAGGAAAGGGAAATCCTTTTGAAGGTTTTTCTACCTCTTGATATGCTGCCTCCTTATCTCTGAGTTTTCGTTCCAGTTTCCTGCGTTCATAGGCGTCCTCTTCATCTTCTTGGTCCCGCTTCTTGTCCCTTCCTCTTTCCCTTTCTCTGTCTCGGCTCAGTTCCCTATAAAAAACGTTAATGATACATAAAAAAAAAAAAAAGAATACATCCTCTTAGACAAATGTATACAATAAAAGAGTGGTTGCTACACAAAAAAAAGAGCATGTACTGTTATTCAGAGGCGGAAAAAAGACAGTTTATCTTGAAGGTTAATGTTATGGTCAGGAGGGAAAAAATCTGCAGTTAGTGTTTATGATCAGATAAGATTAGCTCGAAGTGTAAAAAAAAAAGGTTGAATTATGTAAAAGACAAAGTGAAAATCTATTGTTTTCTATTAAATGTGTTAAAATTTGTAGTTTGATTCGTGCAAATACTTAAAAATGGGTTGAATGTGCATCTTTGTATCATTAAACAAAAAAACGATTACAATAATGTACTGAATGTAATGATCCCCCCAATCATTATAATAAGAACTGACAACAAATGAAATCAGGAACACTTAAGCATAGTTTCAGGGCTGTTTCACAAAACTTGCTGAGAAAACTCAGACGTCCAGTGTGACACAACTTAAACTCACTATAGGATTTCCTGAAAGCGCGCACCTGCGCGATCACGACGCTACGGAAGCCGGCAGACCAAACCAGCGCATTCAGCTCGGCAAAGAACTCATGCTCTTCCTCAACACTGAAGTCCTCAGACATTTTTCTTTCGTTGTTTCTTTCTTTGCACAGGTAAACAGCACATTTCTTCTTCTACGCTTGCATTATTGGCAGAGCAGACGCTGAATGCGCACTTTCATCTGGTTTGGTCTGCCGGCTTCCGTAGCGTCGTGAACGCGCATGTGCGCGCTTTCAGGAAATCCTATACACTACTGTTTATGCTCTAAAAACATTCTAAATGACTTCCTTTCGAGTAAATTCTGGATGCTACCCACTCAGGACACTTGGAATACATTGGACGAGCAGTATGGAGGAATATTGACACGTTTTTTGTGAACTTTTATGGACCTTTCTGTCTCGGTCACCATAGACCTCCATTATTTGAATGTCAGCAGACAGCAAGAAGCCTCCCAGATCTCCAGATGCATTTGAGATATCAAAAAAGTACTCCAGAGTGTTGTTCAGCATGGGGGTGAGTAGAAAATGAAGGCTAATCATGTTTTGGGTGTACTATTCCTTTAAGGCATTTGAATTCCATTCAAATTACTACCAATATTAAATGATTTCCAGCCCTAAAAAAAAAGAAAAGAAAAAAAAAGAGGTAATTAATTAACATTGGAAGGGCCTTCTGGGGAGACTAGTAAAGGGCCTGAGAAACAATTAAGGCATAATTTAAACTGTTCTGGTAGAGAACTGAGGTCCAGTTAAGAAAGTTATATGAATAATATTCTCTCCAGATGGTCGATAACATTCATGCAGAGAAGTTTCAGGGGAGACATAAGATTTATTTCTACACCTGAAGAAAGAGCGTGTGTTTCATTTATAAATTCCATAATTGAGTCATAAATATTTACCTCAGGTAGTATTGGTGTATAAAATTCTGAAATTCATTTTGTGTAATGAAGTTTATAACTTATCACGCTTTTGATGCAACCAAGCATTTAAAATCAGGATTGATATTTTTGCATTCCATTATTAAATAAATGCCTTAACATCTGCAAAATGTTTTCTGTCACAAATCTTTCTTTTACTGTAAAAGAATAAAAGGTTAACATCCGTTCACCTGGATCGGCTGCGCTCGCCGCTCCGATCTCTATCCCAGTCTCTCTGTGGCTCACTCTCTCTGGTCCTGCGGTCACGTTCTTTGTCTCTGTCTCTTTCCCGCTCTTGTTCCCGTTCCCTTTTCCTCTCCCTTTCACGCTCCTTCTCTCTTTCCCGGTCCCGGCGTTCTCTTTCACGCTCTCGCTCTTTTTCACGTTCCCTCCTTTCGCGCTCAAACTCCAGCCGTTCTTTCTCTCGCTTGTCTTTCTCCTCTTCTAGTTTCTGCAGAGCAAAACACAGATGGGTTCAGCGCTTGCCATTTGACATCCAATAACCGTTTGCAATAAGCCGACATGGGTACACAGATCAAGTGGTTTCCAGATTTTGAAAAGTTTTCAAGGAACATAGCCTAAAAACTAGGAAGCCACAATCCTAGCGGAAGACTCCCACTCACAGAGAGACTAAAGCAACATGAGGCACTTTGTTGCTTCAAAAGTGAGGGAACACTACATTTTAGCATGAATGTAACTGGAAACCACTCAAATAGATCTGTGGAGCACAGTTGATATGTGGCATTCATAAGAAAATGCAGCAAATGAAAAATACTTTTTCTTCCTTAAGATCCCTTCTTTCCAGAAACAAAAGAAAAACAAAAACAGAAACAGGCATCAGTCTTTGGTTGAACTAGTTGTTTGTGACTTACAGGTGTTGAACTACGGACTCAGCCCTTCGCTGCCCCTACAAGCCTTTTAAGTTAGGCCTGGGAGGAAAGCAGGTCACACGGTATATAAAGGAAAAACATTATGGGGTTTTTTGTTTTTCTTAAGCAATCAACATAATCATCAACAATAGCCTTTAATTTAGTGGGAAACACTGCATTGGAGTAACTCTACATAAAGAAATGAAAATGATGAACATTAGTTACATTTCTGCACAGATATATGAAATTGTAGAAGCAGTCTTACCCCTGCAGATGTCTTCAGCAGCTCTTCTTGTCTAATCACACACTCACACAGATCCACCCATACAATTACGCAGCATTACACACAAGGCTTTAATTCCTCTAATGTGTACATGCAAGAAACAACCTGACTTTACATGCAACTTATTTTTCTTTGAGGTGTTAAAAAAAGTAAAACTGCATATTACTTTAAAAAAAAAAGAGACTAATGAAAAGCCTTGGGTGTAACGCGAGATAGGAAAAGGATTAACAGGGATAACAACAATAGACCTAAGGTCAAAGTGTTGTTTTAAGCTAAACTACTGCATTTCAAGCTGTACTTTTCATTTTAGCAAAAGGAATGCTCTTGTCTATATTTTGTCATTGACTACTATTACTGAGCTAAATGAGTAACAGATTAGTTGTAGTTCTTAACAGTTTGTTGTTATTTGTAGTTGCCTCTGCCCAATATTTGAATGGATGCAGCTCTGTACATTTTGGGTTATCTTTATTTAAAAATAAAAAAAAAAAAAAAATAAAAAATTTATATTTTAGGATAGTTGAAATGATCCGGAAACTAAATGTAGTATTTTGATGTAATTTAGAGAAATTAGAATCAGACAATCAGACCTTACAGAACAAGTAATCTGAAATTTAACGAGAGAATATCTGATCCGCATCTCTGTGGTCATGAATAGCTGGTTAATTCGATTCGCTGAAATCTGTAATAGCTAATACTACCATTACTCACCTAATAAATAACTTCCGGTATATGGAGCAAGAACAAGATTTTTAAAAATTAACAGAACAGTTTACACAGACAACTTTGTCAAATGTGGTTATTATTAAAAAGCACACCACAGTGTTTAAGAGTTTTTTTAAAGCAACACCATATAACTTTTAACACAAGTATGAGCTTAGTTTGAGATATATTAATGATTTTTCAGGTCAATATAAAGTACTTGGTGGATATCGGTGCTCCATGCGGGCTGACCTTCTCAAAGAAGGGGATCTGAGAGGGTTGGATCTGTCACTGAACGAGTCGCTAGATCCAACTGTACAGGAATCTGAGATCCCATTAAACAGGAGAGCAAACTAAACTAAAGTTGTTGTGGGTAACAAAACTGATACTGGTACTTACCTGATCGGGCACGTTTTCAGAATTGATGTAGGATTGAATCTAAGAGCTGAATGTGCGCTTGCCTTCTTCTCAGCTGATCTTAAGTGGTCTGCTATCAGATTCCATACCGAGGAGGAAGACTGTTTCATGTTATCATGCCTTGTACACAGTTGCTTTCCGGAGTGCCAAACCTAGAAGTTACATGTCTATAACCCCTAGTGGTTAAAAGTTACACAGTATTGCTTTAATTCTATAACTTATTACTGTTATTTCCCTTTGACATGAAGGCTTACCGAGCATATTGTTCTTACTTACCTCTGTAATGAAATAAATCAGGAATTAATGAGTACATTGCTGTCTTCTTTTTTGTGTTAATTTTAGTTCAGTAAATTTTGGCTCTGTCTATTTAGATTAAATCAGGAATATCAAACAGCTTGGCTTTTATTACACTAGTTTTCCATTAAGAAGCATGTGCCTCTTTTAGTCATCCTCTCATAACTAACAATCATTTTGTGCAAGGAAAGAAAACAGATTATTTGAGTAGGAGGAAGGAAAGATATCATGACACACACATTCAGACACAGAGCACGTACCTTGTCAGTCTTCAGATCATCGTACTGCTGTGGAGAGGGCGCCCCCACTTCACACGAGCATAATAAAGGTTACAGCAAAAGTCACTGCAGTGGTTACTGAGTCCTTGTGCTTCAACATGAACACCATTAAGACAGACCGTCATTTATGGAGAACTTGCACAGGTTCACTGACACTTCCGACTTCCAGGGACCTGCTGATGCCGTTTATGATTAGGGATGTGTTTCATACGTCATCTGTAATGCCACAAGGTAGGCTGAATTACACACAACTTGGACCCTGGTCTTAAAAGAACTGTGCAGTTGCCCCGATGCAAGTCCTCAAGAGGGGGGCGCCCAGTATATGTATAAAGGAAAAGAAGGCTGATACTTACATCCTATCCTGGCAACTTTTTCCAAAGCTCTGAGATTCATCTTGCTTTAGTCACCATATGATCACTATCATAATGGTGGGGTTTAATGAATAGATTAGCTTTAAAGTATCTTTACATCGTCTCCATGCATTTTTGTGTGATGAATGAAGAAATGGATCTCTAAAGGGCACACTAAATAATTTCACTATGGAGCTCACAGGTTTCAAATCAGGCCCTAAGAGTTGTGATTTAAATACCAGTCATCTGTTGTGGTAAAATGTTTTCTAGATTAAAGGCTGCAGTAATGCATACAGTGTAAATGTTTGGGACGGCCAATTTGTGGATGCAGGATACAGACATCAGTTCTAATCAAAATTTTTCAACTCTAGAAGTGAACTAGTGAGAAACTGCTGGCCAAAACCTGTAATGTCAAGTGTAAAATAAATGAAGCCACTTTACCTTGTGAGTGTCGCGAAATTTACTAATCTCTCTGGAAATCAGGTCCCGCTTGTCCTCCTCAATGTCAATAGTGTTGATGTCATCCTGTACGGAAAAAGGGAACAAGTATCTCAGTTTTTATTTAAAAAATAAAATAAAATCTAGTTTTACAGTTCATGACAACTAAAACACTTGTGAAAAAAAGCCATTCTTTACCTCTTCTTTCTTTTCCTTTTTTCTCTTTCGTCTCTGGGCGTCATCATCCTGAGAAGGCGCATTAAGCTCTGCAGCATATTCACGCATCAGGCCATCGATGGCATCTTTGACCATTTGATCTCTCTTCTTTGTCTCCTCATCAAGGACCTCCTCCTCATCAGCTCCTCCGTCATCTGACGTCTTATTTTGCTAATACACAAATACTCAAATCAGTCACCTTCCGATTGAGATACTTTTTTTTTAACACTTTAGCCTACCGTATTTTCACGACTATAAGGCGCACTTAAACGTCTTTTTTTTCCCTCAAAATGTGCGGTGCGCCCTATGGTGCGGTGCGCCTTACGTGTGTTGTAACTGCGACTTTTGAGACCACCTCATTGAGGAGATGATGAAAGAGTGGCTGAATGTAAGGAGACCAGGTGTTTTTTTTCCACTCATCACCATCGCTGTTAATATGTGACTCCATGCGTGCCCATCTCACAGCTGATGTGAAAAACATGGGGAAACAAATTAACGCTGTGCTCGCTGTTCAACCGCTCGACATCGGTGTGAACCGGACCCAGCAGGTGCAGCAGAAGCAGCGAGTTTACATGCAAAGTCAATGGTTGACGCGCGTATAGGCGCAGCAAAAGGTCCCACAGCGCGTTTTGAGAAGCAGCCGCAGCGCCTCGGGAGCGTTTAAGTATCTGACGCACCGCCAACGCGCTGCTGCTGCTCAAGATGGAAAAATTGAAGTTTTGCTGCTGGACGCGCCGCATCAACCAATCAGAGAAGCTGATCTGGGAGCTGACAGCGAGACAGACACAGCGCTCTGATGACATATGATATTAAATGAAAAAGGCTGGATGGATGAGGAGATGATGAAAGGCAGGTGTATGTGAGGAGACCAGGTGGTTTTTTCCACGCATCACCATCGCTGCGTGCCCATCTCACAGCCGATGTGAAAAAAAAAGGTGAATCAAATGAACGCTGTGCTCGCCGTTATCCCGGGGGTCTGACAAAGGAATTTCAACCGCTCGACATCGGTGTGAAGCGGCCGTTCAAAGTAAGGCTGCGAGCGATGGATGACAGACGGAGACCACAGTTTCAGGATAAGTGGAAGGCAGCGCCGGGCAAGTTACGCCACCGTTTGCGGATGGATTGTTGATGCTTGGACTAATGTGTCTGCTGGCTCTGTTGTTCAAGCTTTCGCAAAAGCCGGCATTATTTCTGAGGAGCCGCGCTGCACGGAAAGTGACTCTGACAGCGAAGAATGGGAAACTGGCATGTCTGATTTAGCGCAGCTGTTTAATTCAGAAACAGAGGATGATGACTTTGATGGGTTTGATTAATACTTTGTAATAAATACATGAATAAAGCACAAACATACTCAGTTTTGCTCCCGCTCTATTTTTCTACCTGAAAACTTAATTCCACAGCAGCCTCTGGGCCGGGTCTCCTCCTCTTCACCGCGGTGGCTGGCAGGTGTTTTTTCATCTAAATAATCTAAATCTTGCAGCTATATTTGCTGTGATCAGTGGGAATAAAGTAGTTTTAATATGTTTTTAAGTGAGAAAGTCCACCTGAAAACTTAATTGCAGTCAGTTCATCCAGATTATCTATTTCTGTCGGAGGCGCTCAGACCCCCACATACCAGCGGTGCACCGACAGTAGAAATCCCTTCATCAGCAGCCTCTAGGCTGGGCAGCCTCCGGGTTCACCGCGGTGGCTGGCAGGTGTTTTTCATCTAAATAATTTAAACTGCAGGCACCAGGATACCGGCAATAAAAGCGAACACATTCCGTCGGCAGGTTTCAGGATTTTAAGTTAATTTAGGAGTGACCACAGCGCTGTGTCATCTGCGATGTGTCTGTCTCATGGCCAGCTCGCAGGTTTGATTAATACTTTGTAATAAATACATGAATAAAGCACAGTCATACTCAGTTTTGGGCCCGCTGTATTTTTAAATACGCAGTAGAGGTATTTAAAGGTAGTAGAGGACATGTACCTGTATATAAAAAATGCGCCCTATAGTCCGGTGCGCCTTATGTGTGTGTTAAATACAGAAATGGCACACATAACTGAGAGTGCGCCTTTTAGTGCGGTGCGCCTTATGGTCGTGAAAATACGGTAAGTTTGTATTCAGTTATTAAACAAAGTTAGTCGTGAAGCAACAAGCATCAAACAAAAACGTATTCATACCCCATTTGTTGTGTTCTTCTTGGCCTTCCACTCATCCAGCTGAGCTTTTGTTTTTGCATCGACCTTCACCAGCAGGTTTTTGTCTCCAATCTGCAGGTCATGAAGCAACCGCAGAGCTCGCAAAGTAGACTCTGGCTCCTTGTATTCACAGAACCCAAACGCTGCAACACAGGTTGAACAACATGTTAATTTAAGCGTTTCCCACCCTACACTCTTAAAATATTTCCAGAGAAACGGTCAAATGCAATCCAATCATTTTCCAGACTGCGTAGGAACTGAGTTAACACCAGAACCGTTTTCCTCCTTATTTACATTGCTCATTGACAAACTAGAATCCTCCTACTGGAGTACGGGCAAACAATTCTGCAAGTGTCTAGTTTCAGCCTATTTAATAAAAAAAATTGCGCTTGGTAGATGTGTGAAAGAATTTATGTATCCTATGTCATTATTCAGTTCAATAGAGTAAAATAAAATAAGGCTTGACCATGAAACAAAAAGAAATGCATTATTTTTAATGTATATTGATGTTTAAATTACCTTGAAGCTTCCCAGAGGCTCCTTGAACTCTTTTCCAACTCAAAACAATACCGCATTTCTGTAATGATACAAGAAAAAGTTAGCTATATATATATATATATATATATATATATATATATATATATATATATATATATATATATATATATATATTATTCCTTGGTACAGAAGAGATTAAATTTAGGACAGCTAAGCTCATCCAAAAATGTAACCGATGTCTCCATCTTACCGCTAGAAGCTGCCTGATCAGCATGTCTGAAGCTTTCTCTGATATGTTCCCCACAAACACTGTGGTTGTGGGCCCGCTGCTCTCATCGTCCTTTGCTCGCATAATAGAAAGGTCTTTCTTTGGAACAGGAGGTTTACTGACAACCGGGACAGAAGGAACCATAACTGCAGGCCCTGGGGCCATGATGCCCATGTGAACTGGGATCATTGGAGCTCCTGAAACAGAGGAAATGCATACAGTTAGTAGAAAAGAAAACTGCAAGAATAAACGAATCACGAGAACATGCTTATGTCATAGGAGACAAGTGTGATACTATCAGGTAAAGCAATAAAACTATTATAAGATCAAACATTGCTTACAAAAACCTTAATCATTATAGCAAAGTTGAATTTCAAACTGATGGCTGCATATCTTTAGTGTGTGAGTAGCTATGCACAAAGTGCTTATTGTTACTTGATTTTGAAGATTTTTTCTTTACAGTTTCATTCCTTTAATTATTCTTAGTGTACAAAGCATTTAACATAACTGAAACTAATCACCATGTTTATTGACCTTATACAATTCCATTAAAGGTGTGCAGGAGATTTTTTAATCAGGATATGGGTGGATAGCATCGCATTCCCTTACCTGACATGCAATGACTTGTTAGAGCCATATTCTGAATTTTAACTTGATACCTTTCCGATAAGGTATGGGCAACTGAACATTTTGTTCCTTTATATTTCCTATTTAGATATTTTGGGTCAATTCATACTAGACTTGTTCAGACCCTCTGCCAGGGATGTAAAGTATGTCGAAATCTATACCCATACTCAAAGTCCTCAACTAAAGGTAGAGTAATTTTTTTCTAGTTTACATACAATCACTCTAAGAACTCCCTCACAATGTGTGAAGACGTTACATGCAGTTGTTTCGGATTAAAAGGTCACAACTTAAAAAGGAACTCTTCTCCATTGTTTGTGGGAATGTCCTAAAGTCCACAAGTTTTGGAAGTATGTTAGTAGGTGTCTATCAGAATTGCTTAAAGTAAAAGTCCCATTAGAGGTTAAAATCTGTATTCTAGGAATATATCCAATAGAATTCAAACAATCTCGGAAGACAACTACATTGATAAACTAATGACTTCTTCAGACCAGGAGATCGATTGCACTATGCTGGAGGAGCATGGAAGCCCCCTCCATGTGGTTCTGTCGGAAAGAAGTTGCAAGCTCACTCGAACTGGACAAACTAAGATACATTGCAGAAGGCAAACAACGGGACTTTGAGAATCTATGGGAGCCAAATATGAGGATTATAGGGACTAAAAGTGGTGCTGATTGATGGCAGTTTTTAATGGATGACTTGACTACAGTTTTTATTCATATATCGCCCCCTTTTTTTCTTCCTTTTTTAAGTCTCTGCATTAACCTAAAGGGTTTTGTATATTTTTGGAACTAGACAAATGCAGGTTTAAATGATGAATGCATGAGTGAATGTCAGTGTGTATAAGTACATGTTAAAAGCTCAAGTTTGTTCTCTGTAAGTTTTGTTGTATCAAAAAAGCGAAAATTCAATAAAATATATTGGAGGGAAAAAAAGGTCACAACTTAGCATATCTTAAAAGTAAAGTTGACTGGACAAACCAAGGAAAGAATTACAGAATATCGTGGAAAAATAAGGTTTCAAAAGTACCATATAGTCACATAGTTTGTTTTTTTTGTAGTTGTTTGTAGTTACAGATGTATTTGTTATTTATATATAATTTGCATATTGACAAATAGGGATGTACATTTGTGAACTGTACTCTGCGGAAACATGGGAGGAACTGGCTTAATAAACGCAATCAGATTGCAAGATAATTGCAATTTTTACACTTTGCAGTAATGTAAGTCTATAACTCTATAAAGGAGGAGGGCGCTTACCTGCAGGGAAGCCAGGATACTGATGAGGGATCCCAGGAGGGGGCAACAGCGGCCGGTTTAAATGAGGGGGGAAGGACATCCTGAATGTGGATCGGACCTAATGAACACATGGTTGACAAAGTTAATCAGGTTAATCATTGAAGGAATTTAAATATACTTATAATACCGTACAAGGCCTCTGCAAACAATATCTTAACGGCTTGGGCACACAAAAAGATTCACTTCCTGCTATATCACAATATTTAAACACAAATCGCCAATGACTTTTATACGACTCTGGTGGAATGTTATATAAGGTTAGCTAGGTCTTTCGAGAGGGTTTCAGCTAATTTAACTTCGTTGAATTCAAACTACAATAACTCTTTACTAACTTTGAGTGTGACAACCAAAAACAATTAGCTAAGTTAGCTAAAGCTAACACCAAGCACGTTCCTATACCCGGCACAACTAAATTATGCTAACCTGACATTAGCCTGACTCGCCGTTAGACAATGTATACACTTTGGGCTTTTAGCCGTTTAAAATGTATTTTCAAAAATGCGAAAATGTTCATGTATACTTACCACAAAATGCAGTGGCGCACAGTTGGATAAAATCGATTATATAGAAAGTATTTGTGGTGAAAAAGTCGCTATAGTATAGGACGATAGATTAGCACAGTTGCTAGCCACGGCCTTCAAAAAACACTCGTGCGCATGCGCTTCAAGGATCCGGATAAGTGCGTTTGTTTTGTGTATCAGGCTGTGGCTGTTTGGGCGGCGAGAATCATGCTCAGTAACAGAGAAATGATGGGCTGATTGTTTTCTTCTTCTTCTCTTCTATTATGGCGGATCACAAGCAACTTTAAGGTGCATACCGCCACCTACTGTACATGAGTGTGTAGCAGCGTTACTTCACATCTATTAGATTCTATTTTTTAATTTTGAATTCTTAAGATACATAAACAATGCTTTCCTTAGTTTATGAATATCTGTTATGTTTCCTTCATTTCCTAATATTCCTTTAAGATTCCATTCATGCCCTATACTTCTAACTATTCTCTTTAATTTTTCCCTTTCGTGTTCATATAACTTACAGTTCATCAGTATGTGTTCTACATTTTCTTTTTCACCACATTTCTCACATTTATCACTATTTTTCCTCCCTATTAAATAAAGCATGTCATTTAAGTAGGTATGACCTATTCTTAATCTACTAACTATTATTTCTTCTCTTCTGTTTCTTTCATTAATGTTTCGAATTCGAACTGACTTTTGCACTTCATATAATCTTCTTCCTTTCCTATCTTCGTTCCATATTTTTTGCCATTCCTCCATTTCTTTACTTTTAATAAGTGATTTCCCTTCCCCTTTTCCAAAAGGAATTGAAATCGTTATTTCCCCCTCTAAAGCCCTTTTAGCTCATTTATCTGCCTTTTCATTGCCTTTTACTCCTTCATGTGCTGGCACCCAACAAAACCAAACATCAATGCCACCCCTATATAATCTAAATAAAATATGATGAATTTCTAATACCAAATCTTTTCTATTATTTCCTTCTCCCTTAATACTTTCCACTACTGCTTTAGAATCTGTGCACACCACCACCCTGATTGGTCGAATCTCCTCCACCCATTGCAAGCCTAATATAACTGCCACCATTTCTGCTGTAAAAACCGACAATTGATCTGATATTCTTTTATGAATACATTTTTTAAACTCTGGGATATATATTCTTAAACCCACATAACCTTTTAGATTCTTAGAACCATCTGTATAAATTTTAAGGTAATTATTATATGTAGTTCTTAAATAAATATCAGTTTTTATCCCTATTTCATTTATATTCCAATCATTTTTCATTGTATTGATTTGCAAATCTACATTAACCTCAGGTATTAGCCATGGAGGAATAACGCTAATTGGGTTAAATTGAGCTATTTCCTTGTCTTCTAATCTATACTTTTTAATCCATTTCCTAACCATCCATCCAAATCCATTACTTTGGAACTTCACATATTCCCAACAATTTTGCAGAATAGTTGAATTCACATGATCATCTATATTACTTTTAATTTTCATCCAATAGGCTAAAGCTAATTTAATTCTCCTCATTTCAAGTGGAGTTTCCCCACTTTCAATTAATAGAGCATTAATAGGTGTTGTTTTTATTGCTCCTGTACATATTCGTAAAGCCCTACACTGTAATCTTTCTATTTTTTGTAATGATGTTTTAGCTGCTGCTCCATATATAATGCTGCCATAATCTATTATTGCTCTCATTAGAGCCCTGTATATGCTTAATAATGACTGTCTATCTGCCCCCCAATTGTTTCCAGCCACAGCCTTTAATATATTAATAACTTTTTTACATTTGGTTTCTAAGTTATCTATATGTGTTTTCCATGAGTAAGAACTGTCCAACCATAAACCTAGATATTTATATTCTGTTACTCTTTCTAAAGTCTGTCCATATAATGTTATTGTTTCTATATTAATATTTCTCTTCTTTGTGACAACCATATAGCAAGACTTGGTTGCTGATAATTTGAAACCCCATTCATAAGACCATTTTTCAACTTTACTAATTGCTTTTTTAATATTTTCTACAACATGTTTAATATTTTCCCTTTCATCCATATGGCCCCATCATCTGCATATAGTGCAGATTTTATACATTTATCAGTTTCATAGAATATATCATTGATCATAATATTAAATAAAATTGGACTAATTACACTACCTTGTGGTATTCCATTTTCAACATTATATTCATTTGAATAGTCATTCCCAATTTTTACTCTTATTTTTCTATTTAGTAGAAAATTTGCTATCCAATTATACATTCTCCCACCTATTCCCATCTGTTTCATTTTTATAAGTAATCCTTCTTTCCACAATGAGTCATATGCTTTTTCTATGTCAAAAAATACTATAATCATTATTTCCTTCATTTTTAAAGCTTTCTCTATGTCATTACTGACTCTAGTTAGAGCATCTATTGTTGATCTTCCAGTTCTAAATCCACATTGATATCCATTAATTAGATTATTCTTCTCAAGATAGTATCCTAATCTATTAACCATTATTTTCTCCATCCATTTACTTAAATGGGAAGTAAGAGCAATTGGTCTGTAATTATTTGGATAGGAAGGATCTTTACCTGGCTTATTAAATGGTAAAATTATTGCCCTTTTCCAACTATTTGGTATTGTTCCTTCTTTCCATATTTTATTAAATAATTCTAATATTAATTTCAGTGTTACTTCCGGAATCTGTCGAAACATAGCGTAACATAATTGGTCCTCCCCTGGAGCTGAATATCCTGTCCCTTTCAATACTGTTTTTATTTCTTTCATGGTTATATTCATATCCAATGTTGACATATATTTTTGACATTTTTCTAGTAAGTTTTTATGATTTCCAAGTTTTTGAATCATCTGCCTTCTGTGGGTATTTGTCAAGTGATCACCACTATGAACTGCCGCAAATGTCTCTCCTAATAACTCTGCCTTATCTTTATTTAAAACCAATACCTCCTGTCCTCTGACTAAGGATGGAATATTAACATTGTTCTTTTTCCCCGTCATTTTTCTAAACATTGACCACACATTCTGTAAATTAACTTCTGAACCTATTGATGAACAATAGTCTCTCCACGTTTTCTTTTTGCATCCTTTATAGTTTTCCAAGCTTTTGCTCTTTTCCTTTTATAATCAATAAGGTTTTCGATTGTTAGATTTTTCTGTAGTATTTTAAAAGCTTTATTACGATCTTTAATAGTTTTACTGCATTCATTATTCCACCAAGGAACTACTTTCTTCTGACCTTTCACTTTTATTTTTGGTATGCTGTAATTTGCAGCATTTAGAATATGTTCTACTATTTGATTTGTACACTCTTCAATATTACCTTTTAATGTTACTATATGTCTTGTTTCCTCACATTTTGTTTTAAATTTAAACCAATCAGCTTTATTAAAGCACCATCTTATTAATGTAAACTCTTCTTGTCTATTTATATTATCATTAATTATTGTACTCACTGGAAAGTGATCACTCCCTAGTGTAGATTCCCCATTTACATCCCATTCACATGCACTAACAAGACAGTCAGAAACTAATGTAATATCTAGACATGAGATTGAATTTTTATGTATATTTATTCTTGTACCTTTTCCATTATTAAGACAAACTAATGACCTTTCATCCATTAATTCTTCCACTATTTCACCATTATGATCCGTTTTCTTGCTACCCCATAGACTGTTGTGAGCATTAAAATCTCCACACCAAACTTCTCTTCTATGTATTTTCCCTATTTCCTTAAATATTTCATTATCTAGATTTTTACACGGATTATAATAATTAATGATTTTAATATTTCCATGTCCTTAAATTAAATATTTCTATATTCACACATTCTATTTTTTTATTTAATGAGTTTTTCTTGTAAGCAATTCCTTCCTTAATTAAGGTGGCACATCCTCCGCCACTACCATTACTTCTATCCTGTCTTTCTATATTATATCCAGGTATTTTAAAATCCAAGTTTGAGTTTAACCATGTTTCTTGTATACATATTACATCTGGTATTACTTCTAATTCATAAATATACTTTTTAAATTCTTGTCCATTAGCTATTATACTTCTGGCATTCCATTGTAGAATATGAATGACCATCAATAAAGCTTGTATCCTAATCCTGACCATTTTCTGTTATTTCAGTGGCACTCAAAATGGTATGTATTTGATCTGCTTGAATTTCTTTCATATCTAGGAACCTCCCTGCTGCTGTTACTATTTCTTTTATTTTATCACTTTTCTTCTTCATTTGGACTGTAACATTAATAACATGACATATAAATGCTACAAAGTTTTCTTTTTTCACCATCATTGTATTTTCCTCTATTTTACATTTATGCAAACATGTATTATTTGTATTTGTTGTTGGCATTAGTATTTGTCTCTGACCATTCATTCCTTGATTTGTGTTCTGAGAAGTGTAACTTTGATCTGCTTCTCCCAGTCTCATTCCTCTTTTACTATCTTTCTTTATTCTTTTTAATGCTTCTGCGTAAGAAACTCTTTCTGATATCTTTATTTTCTGGGCTTCTCTAGCTTCCCTTTGAACTATACATCCACCATAGGCTGCACTATGCTCACCACCACAGTTACAGCATTTGATTTTGGCGTCTTTGTCACACTTTCCAAATTCATGTGGTCCTCCACATCTTGCACATCTAATTTTTCCCTTACAATCTTTTGCAATGTGTCCCATTCTTTGACAGGTAAAACATCTGAGCGGTTTCGGGATGTACTCTCTAACTTTATAGTTCATAAATCCTAGCTGTATATTTTCTGGCATGTTATTTTCAAACTGCAATATCACAGCCATAGTGTCTTTGAGTTCCCCTTCTCTTCTACTTTTATTCCTGGTGGCATTTGTTATTTTCCCTCCTTTGATTTCATTCTTCACCTCCTCCATTGTCATTTCAAGTGGAACTCCTGAGATTACTCCTCTCAACCTTGCCATAAAACCTGGTATATGTGATTTAACTCTTTCTCCCATCAGAGTTTTCATTTTGATTATCTTCTGTCGTTGTGCCTCACTGATAGCTTGAATTATCACTTTTCTGTTGTTCATGATTCTGGCCGTTTTGATTTTCCCTATCTCTTCCTCTATTGCTTTGGTTATCTTTATCGGATGAATATAACCCCTTTCTAGCTGAAATTCCAC